TTTATTCTGATGCTCGACCGGATCTTCAGCGAATGTTGAGCTGTCCCTGAGGTATGAGGTGGTCGAGTCCACGACCACGCCCATTTGATCGTTCTTCCTCGACCAACTCCTCGAGTCCCTGGTACTTGCTCTTCTCTGTTGCCTTCCTCCCTTCATTCTGGCTTCCCGGTCCGATTCGACCAGGTCATTGGTCTACTTTAGCCGGTTGTCCTGATGAACCGGTCTATTATATAATATCCCATATCACTATTTTTATTAATTCATTATTAAACATACAATTCCATCTACATACTGGAATTAAGTGTTGATGGACAATTATGATGATGTTCAATCTGCTCGTATTCGTCGTGGGGGCAAGCAGTGGTTCATCCAGGTGAAGAAAGAAGGGACCAAACACGTCTTCACATGGCTGAAGTCTTTCATCCATTATGGTCAAATAATTAAAGAAAGAATTATCACTTTTAGGAAAGTAGAAGTTGAGTGCGAGGATTTGGTGTTCGACGTAGAGTTTTTACCAATGTCAATTTAATTAGTTGATGTGAATGGTTGAACATAGATTTATTATTATTATTATTATTATTATTATTATTATTATTATTATTATTATTATTATTATTATTATTATTTGGTTTTTTTAAGGTTGCATTGTAGTTTTTTTAAGGTCCAATAGGGCCCGAATGTCATCTAGTTATGCCATCTTTTGTTTGAATCCATTATGCATGTTTCTCTTTTGTTTGATGGTACTTTTGGTTATCTGCTTTATGTCGTCTAGTTGTGCTAATATACGGTTTTTAAAGTCATTAATCTGCAGTTGTTTACAAATTTGTTATAGAATTTGCTATGTTGCATTATTCTATTGAAATACACAACTAGCTCACATTCAATCGTGTGTGTTTAAATTGTATATCTGTGGCCACAATGTACGGGAAAATTGAATCGTGTGACTATTGAATTAGGTTAATAATCCCTTTATGTATTATTCCCGAATGTGTTGAGCCTAAGTGGCATCCTATTTGGCAAAATTCCATGGCTTGTATAGATAATAATTTAATTATAATCTAAAAATAATTAGGTTCCAATTATCCACAAATATGTTGATTATTTATGGTCCTTTTAGATGTATTTATTGTATTTAATATCATTTCATATTATAACATTGTAAATGTATTTTGCAAGTTAATAAATTTTGTATTTTTTATCAGTTTTACATACATAATATATGAAATTAACAATCTCTTTATGAGTTTCAATTTGACATATATATTGAATGTATAACATAAATAAATTATATTAGCCTTTATAATAATAATAACAAAATAACAATTTCATTAAAAAATTATTTAACAATTAATATATTTGTTTACAAAATAGTTATATGGTATAACTTAGAAAAATCATTATAATATAACATATGTAAGCCGCACAAGTAACAAGTGTCATCCTAAAATATATATTATTATATTTTTTTCAAAAATAAAAAGTATTTAAATTATAAAATATATTTTTCTATTAATTTTAGAATTTAAGAATACTTTTTTTAACAAGCACCCGTGTCATACACTGTGTTGTACTAGTTGTACATTAGTCATAAATCATTAATCGATGATAATTAAACAAGTTATGATAAGAAAATATACACAAGTCTAAAATCATTAATCGGGGAAATTAACCAAGTTTGAGAAATAACAAAACATACATAAGTGAGAGTAACAAATCATTAGTCGGGCAGAATACACAAGTTTGAGATGATAAAATGTACGTAAGTCGGAGTTAAAAACCATTAATCAGTGATATTACACACGTTTGAGATAACAAAATGTACATAAGTTAGAGTCAACTACCATTAACTAGGGAGATTAACAAGTCTTAGATAACAAGGTGCACATAAGTTAAAAATCCAGCAGAATTCATACTTCCAAAGTAACAAAAAAGTTGAGATAACAAAGTGTACGCAAGTCAAAAATCCGAGTAATAAAATGTACACAAGATCACAGTGATCTAATGAAGACGAAGAAAATCTTGAAAACTATCCATGTCACTTACGTGTGAGCAAGAGTCTGTTATTGCTGTATTGGAATCGAAAATGTTGTCGTTCAATAGCTGATAATTAGCGGTAGGCAATTGTGGTTACTCGAACCGACTGACTCTACTGTTGGACAGTGAGGGTGTCTTTTAGGCTCCAATTCATTAGGGTGTCTTTTATGCTTCACTTGATTAGGATACTCCAACAAGTATCCTAATAGTAGGAAGCTCGACAAAAGTGACTCCCACTACGGATCAGGTCTGTGGAAGTAATAGAATGAAATTTTCCAATGCTTGTATACATGCAAAAATAAATGTTAGATGACACAAGAAAATTGTCTGATAAGCAGAGGTTCACAACCGAACAATTCATTTATTACCTTAATTACGTCTTCAACCCAAAAAGGTACATCCATGGTAAAATTGTAAGGGTCGTGAAAGACATCCTCCTACTCCAACAACCACTTCATTGTTCGATATCGTCCTTTGAGTACATTGTACATCTGCCATGTTTCCTTCAAACATAACCAATGTTTGATTCTTTTAAATTCAACCAAGATTTAGCTCTTCCACAAAGGTGGCATGAATTCGCCTAAAGGCAAAATAGATGTTCGACTCATGGTCCATGCACTCAAATACGACAGAATGACGTAACACCAAACAAAATAGGTCTTCGATTCATTGTTCCCACTAATTTATCATTCCTTGCCTAATTTAATTAAAGTGGCCATGGTTTGTCATAGGCAATTGAAAAACATCCATAATTGACTTTTTTTTTTTTTTGATGCAGTGGAGATATTCAAAACAACTAGAGGTTTTAGCATATGCAGGGAGACGAAATATGTAATCATTCTAAGAGGTAACTTGTACTCTTAATATATTAATTGTGCTTTTAATATATTAATAAATTAATTAACATGTCACTTTCTCAAACCAAGAGTCCAAAGGTTTAATCGGAGGTAATTTGTGCATGCATGCCATTTAATTGAAATTGAGTGATTGTGAATAAAAAAAATTAAAATACATGTTACTGGACATTAACATCCAAATAACACATTCAACATCAGTAGTGAGACATTTCATCAAACATGTAATGTACTTATTAAGGATTCACAAAAAAAATACAATGTAGCCTCATTTAACCAATCCACCTCCTCACATCAGATCATTATTCATAAGAAACGATTATAATAATACAAGGATGTACAGAAAAAACCATTTGACATAAGTTCATAATCAAAACACGAATGCAAGGTGAACAATCTGGAATTGAATAATAACACATCACACAATAAATTCATATAAACGAATCGAATTCCATATATTTCTGCAAACAATGTCGATTGTCTTTAGATTTCGAGAAACAAATCGCGAAGACACAAGCTGCAATCGAAATATACATGGATTAATAGTGACAGCCAATGAAACATCTGTAACAAATGTATCGGTGTTGTCCGACTGGCCATTGTGTGAAACATTTGACCATATGTAGATTGGTAATGTTGTTCTTCGATTCAATGATGTTGAGAGGAGGGAGACGAGAAAAAAAAATGTCGAAGAACAATGTATTTGAAAAAAATATTTGATCAATGTTAAGGTTGTGATGATACTGTTTGTATTTGAAAGATTGTTATAGAAATAATATAAATATATGGTCTTTAAAATAAATGCAATTATCATTTTATAAGTTATTAATTTAAATTGTAATTTTTAATGAAATAAGGTATTATAGGTTTTTTTTTGCAAGTACGTAAAAAGTACAATGCGACCAAAATTCTTTTTTTTTTTTTTTTTT